TTCATACACACACAGAAGGCTATGAGCAAGGGGACGAGTAAGGGGCACCATGCAAGGCAATGAGCGAGCTTGCGGCCACGGGCACAACGAAAGGGTCAAGAAGTGGGATGAGGCTCCATGAAATCGAGATAGACCTGGGCTTCGTCGGCCGGAACATGATGCCGCAGGTACCTAAGAAGCAAAGGCAGAGCTGCCGAACTCTGTTCTCTGAACGTTGAGGTGTGAGCAAAGACCCGCCAACTGTGATGATCCATCAATGCAGAACAAATGGCAGGTTGCTATTGTGATACTGCGGGTATTCTCAAGAATAAAAGAAGGGTAGGGACAAAGAGCAAACATCAGCAAGGGCTGAGCGAAAGGCATGCCGGACGATGGAAAGACTCTGCTCAAGCGAGGACAGTCAGAGACTGTGCCTAGGCGACAGCAGATAGGGAAAATGCAGGGGCAACCCAATACGACTTGGTGCTTTGCGATAGTACGTGGCATAGGGACAGAAAGGCCGTTGCCGAAAGGTGCGTACCTGACCTAAGTCCCATGGTATCGAAGGTAGTGGGAGGTGGTCAGATTGAGGCTGGATTTGATGACACCTCAGTCAGGTTTCATCATTTGACGCCAGTCACCCGATCAGGACAGGCACGTTGGGGTGATGTACCTACCTACAATACCTACCTTGGGTACCTACCTTAGGCACACTGCCTTTTCAGGCGGAGTATATGAGTACAAGTGCCGACTCCGTTATCCCTTGATGTAAATGCTGTTCAACCCCGAGTTGGGACAAAAGCGGATTCTGCGGGACCCCCATCTACACTGCTGCATTTCCAGGGTTGTCAAGTATGGAGGCTTAGTTCTGCAGCTCCCTCAAGCCCGTTTGTCCGGCATGGTTCTAACGGGAGCAAAACGGAACATTAGGATCAGTTCGCGATGGATGACGGGCGGCGGCACAGCCCTCACTTCCGTCTCTATGCTCGACTCTTCCAGAAAAGGATACAGCAGTCTTGCCGCCAAAACAGAAGAAATGCTCGTGTATGAGTAGGTGCCTCATAGATGAGCAATACGATTCACCTCCCCACACAGGGGCCAGTCGACAAATCCTGTACTCATTGGCAGAATCAACACCCTGTGCCAACATCACGGCTCGCCTGAACCATATGCTGAACAACACAAGCCCGAGAACCTGGCCGGCCTAGGCGGTTCTCGCCCAACGGCCCTTCAAAACGTCGAGGACCAGGGGATCCTCGGCGCATGGCCTGGCCGAGTCCTCATTGTAACTGGTTGCAGTCCTGGAGGCATCAGCGTCGAAGCAGCGCGTGCTCTACATACTAGTGGCGCCGACGTCTTCATTGTCGTTAGCGATGTGAAAAGGGTGAAAGAGCTGTCAGAGATGTCTTGTCGGATAGTCAGCCTGGCAAATGAGGTTTTGCAGATCGACCTCGGATCGCTAGCTAGCTTCAGGAATTCAAGGTGGCAGCAGAAGAGTTTCTCTCCTGGAGCGACGAGCTTCATCTTCTCATCAACAATGCGGGTGTTTTCACAACGAACGTACTATTCTTGTGGCCGCGAAATGAACGGATATTGAATACAATTTGATATAGACATTCTCGCTTTACGAGCAGCTGCTCATCTCCCTCTGATATGCTCGCATTGGTCGTCATTCTGTGAAGCCCCTCTATGCATCCTGTGAGGGGAAGTTTTCGGTGGAGAAACTCGGTGAAGCTTGGACCCCTGCAAACCTTCAAAGCTTCATTCCCATCGACTGCCTTTCTCATTCTGCGTCCGACACACATCCTGCGCCAACCACCCCCAAACCCCTCGCAGCCATGTCCGTCACCCTACACACCACCTTGGGAGACCTCAAGATCGAGGTCTTCTGCGAGAGTGTGCCCAAGACCGCAGAGGTAAGCTTTCTCTCCAGAGCTTCGCAGTGCAGCGATGCAATTCTCGCCCAGATTTCCCCAGCTCACCCAACATGGCCAGAACTTCCTGGCCCTCTGCGCCTCGGGCTACTACGATGCCTCCCCCCTCCACCGCCTGATTCCGAACTTCATGGTCCAGACCGGCGGGCCCGCGAACCCCTCACCGCCCGACAACCCCAAAGGCGGCCGCTCCATCTGGGGCGGCCCCTTTGAGGACGAGATCCGGCCTGCGCTGCGTCACTCGGCGCGCGGCATCATCTCCATGGCCAACAAGGGCCCTGGCACGAACGGCTCCCAGTTCTTCATCCTCTTCGACAAGGCGCCGCACCTCGACGGCCTCAACACTGTGTTCGGCCACCTGCTCGGCGACGAGAGCACCGCGACGCTCGCCAAGATTGAACGCGTCGAGATTGACAAGAAGAGCCGCCCGAAGGAGCCGATACGTATTGAAAAGGTCACTGTGCACGCCAATCCGCTTGCTGGGTGAGGACGGCACCGAGGAGAACGACTTTCGAACGAAACAAGGCAAGAGAGAAACAAATCCTGGGACACCACCGTTCGGACAGGCCACCAGGGCTGTTCGAGATGGTTATTTTAGGCCGTCATCCGTCTCTCTACCAAAGGCCTCCGAACCCCTTCGCTATAGTCCTGACGCTACACCCACAACCACTCATCCGCCTTGCGCAGCCCCCAGTACCGAAAGTCGACCGCACCCCCCCTCTCCGGGGCCGCCTCCCCCTCCTACCCCACCCAGAAGGACATGACGAGGGGACACCCCCTGAGGTGCAAGACATCCTGGCTTACAATCGCGCGACGACAAAACACGTCTTATGCGGTACACCCTTTACCTGATAGACCTGAACATCGCTTTTGATACCCTATCTACTTTTTTTTTTTTTTTTTTTTTTTC